ATATCACACCCAGGTCATTAGAATACCATCGTTCGCGCTGTTTGTCGAGATTGTTTTATTTCGTCTCAAAGCTTGGATTTTAATGGCACGCACCTGTTGAACGAAAGAAATTCCGCGTTTTATTTAAGTTGTGTGTTGAAAGATGTCTTTGGCATAGTTCCTTGCGTACGTGGTGTAGTTTTAATAACCTCGGACGCGCAAATAGCATGCAAACGTGGACATGTATGAGTTAGGTAGTTTTGCTTCATTCTGCAGAGGAGGTCGACCTGCAGTGATCCTGACTTAAGACCTTTCAGTCTTGCAGAACTTGAGTGGTCATTGATTGTTGAAAAAATTCGCAACATAAGCCGGCGGTTGTTTACGCTTTTCAAGACTCTTTCAAGATGGCCTCCTCGGTTGTTGACCTTCGAGTTTAACCGGCTATTGACTGCTTGTGGCAGCCCTGTACAATTAAACCTTTGTTACTATACGGAAAGCTTCCCCTTTGAGAACGCCCGAAAAAATCCTGTTAACGATCTAAGGAACAACTTCCACCTTCATCGTGATCAACTGCGTCGGCCACACGAGACCATGCAGACGTCTTCTGTGCATTGGTCTTTGCAATGCAAATACTGTTCGTGTGTTTATTCCCTCGCACAAGAGTCTAACAAACGCTCCAAACAATAGGATGCTAGCAAACAATAATCAACAACAATTTAAACGCTCCTGTGTGACAAAGTGGACAAAATTTGTTTAGTATGGTCGTGTAGGAACAGTGTCTAGGTTTGTTTCATAAAACAACGTTTTGTATTTCAAAAGATCAAAGAACACCCCTGTGAGCGATTTTAGCTTTTCTCAGCTTAGTCAATTGAATGTTCAGAAATCAAAGTTGCTCGACCTCAATCTGTGGATTAAAGAGGCTGGCAACAGTTTCCAGCACTCTTCTAATAGCTATACTTTGAAGGATGAATACTACTATTGTTTATCAAGTGATGCTGCAGTATTGGTATCGTACAAATACCCAAACATTGGTTAACAATGACGGTCATTCTTTATGTATAACAAGTTACCATAGCAACAATATGACCTGCTAAAAACACCCATAATTGTAGCTTTAAGCACTTGTAACTCAGAAGCAAGCTCGGTGACCCCCATTTTTTATTATGGAAGTATGATTAGATATGATAAGATCTTGGGCAGGGACCGGAACTCCTATATAAAAAGGACGGGGGTGTTTGTTGTACCTTTTAGGGGTTAAAAAAGTGGTTTTAGTACCTCTCAGGGTGTTCAGCCTCAAAAGGTTCACAGTGGGAGCTTTTGCAGTACCTTTTAGGGTATTGAGCTGCAAAAATATAACAAGACATTATATGTTGTTTTAGAATTAATACCTCTTAGGGGTGAAAAACATTTCAAGCCATGCCAACAAAAGAGGATCTTGGTACCTCTTAGGGGTTCTTTTCAAAAATTCCAACAAGCACCCCCATCCTTTTTAAATGGGAGACCCCCTCCCAGGAATAAGATCCAACTTTTTGCAAAGTTTAAAAAAATTCTGTAGTGTGGGTTCAGCGCCACCTTAAATTTCGAAAAATTAAGGTGGTTCTGAACCCACAATACAGAATTTTTTAAAAAACCCTGCAATGTGGAATGTAGAGAGTATCAATTAAGTACTAAATAGGTTTGCTTTGATTGAGTCAGGTTGACTGTTCAGTCTAAATAGGTTTCTTTTCTTGGATAAAGAGCATTTTGTAAATTAAGCATTCAAATTTTTCAGTTTTACCAATTTGAAAATGATGAACAAGTCATTGCAACGTCATTCGAAATTATTATCGCTAGTTTTTATTCTTAAATTAATATCTGAAACCTAAATTAACAGACTCCAAAATTATTCAATGGGTTTGAAACAACAGCCAAACCAAAATAACTGTTTAGTTTTACAGGGGACAGAAGGCCACTTATGCACATTCTATATTTTGAAAACCCTAGATATACATGATTCAAATATTTTCGCTTTGATTTCTTGCAGGCCATGTTCAAGTCTAATCGGGGTACTGTCAGTGGATATTTCTTGGCTGGGAGATTTATGACATGGCTTCCAGTAAGTCAAGTTGGATCAGACATAAGTTTGTTTTTAAAAACAGGATGATGCAAAATAAATATTACGTTGCCGCGCGAACAAGAGAAATTTTGTATTTTCAAGTGGCCATGTAATTTTCTCTTTACTATATAAACACCAATGGAATAACAAACCATTTGACTTTTGTTGCAAAAGGCACAATTTATTATGTTACCATAGCAACGTGATCTTTTCACATGTGAAAATAACATGTTTTATTCACGTGTGAAGATGTCATGTTTTCGCACAAAAGCTCACCTGGTATTTCATCGGTGTTTATATAATAAATACTAAAATTACCCCTTAACATCTAATATACAACTAAAATTGAATATTTTGTTACAGTAACTGTTATAAAGTTAAAAATAAACCATTTTTTGGCCCAGGTTGGTGCATCACTGTTTGCAAGTAATATCGGCAGTGAACACTTCATTGGCTTGGCAGGATCAGGAGCTGCTGGTGGAATAGGAGTTGGAGCATTTGAATTTAATGTAAATATTACATCCTGCTCAAACTTCAGTGAAATTGATTTCATTTTAACTTTTTCTTTAAGTCTTGTAATTTAATTGTCAAACAAATATGATGCATAGATGTATCATTTAATGTTTCTGGTTTTGTGCTTGTTTTGTGTACTTGTGTTCACTGATTAGTCCTTCTGCTTTCAAGGCTATAATGCTGCTTCAGTTGCTTGGTTGGGTGTTTTTACCTGTCTATATTGCTGGTGGGGTGAGTAGAAGGAGCATTTCTCCAACTTTTCATTTATTAATTCTGTTTATTTTGCCTTTTTACTTAATGTACAGTATTTATAAATATTTTAATGTGAGGCGAGGTGACCTCTAGAAACCATCAGGCTTTTAGTGGAGGCCACCTTGTACATAACAATACGGTTACATAAATAGTGCAACAGTGTGTGGCTTTGCCAGTTCAGTAATTGTATTTTACTAAAAACTCTAGCAGTTTTTTCTTAAAATTGGGAAAACTTGACAATGAAGTGATTGTAACAGGAAGGGAATTCCAGATCTTATTATGGCTTAGAGCCGGTCCTAGGTACCAGTCACTTACGCTGTGAATGACTAATAACAAGGGCCAGATTTTCCTGTAAAGCCCACATAGGTATTTATGAGTGTTATTAAACAGTCGAATGTCCAGTTGCGACCACATCTGGTAAGAAAGTCAAATCACCATATTTGGAACCTCTTTTAAGTGACCACCTCTCATAAGCAACTGCGACCACTTTAAGGACTAAAAGTTTGAAATTTCATTTTGTTTTTAACTCTTGTAGGTGACCACTGGACAGACAATAAAGCAGAAATAGTTGTATAGTAAAGGTTTTTTTAATATTATCGCATTCCTAGATAGTACAAGAGACATAAATTTCTCAATGGGAAGTATCACATTTTTCTCAAAATTGACTTTTCGTTTAAAATGTTAAAAACGTGGAGTAAATCTCGGCATGTAGCATATGCTTATTAGGCAAAAATTTTGTCTCAATGTGGTCTAAGCTCTCGTAATCATAAGTAACCATATAGGCTTGACATTTTGGGTGGTCGCTTATGGGAGGTTTGACTGTCAGTAATAGTATTTAGGAATTTTGTTTAATGTAATTAAAATGAAGAATTTATTAAAAAGTTAATTGACACAAAACTAACCTGAAATGTCCTGTGCATTCTGTCCTGTAAGGTAGAGAATAACGTAATTAGTAAGTAACAGTAACATCTCCCTTTGTGTGTTCAATTCTTCTCTCACAGATTTAATCCAAAAATTTGATACTCACCCTCAGCTGATAATATACCCATGTGCCTCAGAGACTGGCTGTCCCTTCTAAGTAAATTTCAAATCCACACAACAACCACAATGGGGACACACTATGGATCTCCTTAGAGCAGTGTGATCAATATGGAAATTTTTGGTCGAATCTGTTGAGCTGTATTTTGAGTGGGGAAAGAATCTGGCCTATAAAGAGAGATTTGTTTATAGGATAGCCTATTGAAAACATTGTAAAACAACATGAAGCTCAACTTACATAAATTACATCTTGTAACTTGCCTCCTGGAAAACACTTTGTTTGTGTTTAAAACTTTTTTTGTTTTCAATAGATTTGCACCTTACCAGAATATATTTGCCGTCGCTTTGGTGGCAAAAGGCTGAGAATGTGGCTTTCGGTCGTCTCTCTTCTATTGTACATCTTCACCAAAATATCTGTAAGTTTATGTTCTCTAGCAATTGTGTACACGTATGTGCATACCTCGGTGCACTTAATGACTGACTGAGAGGGCTAGATGGAAATATTTCACTTATGTTGTGCATACTGTGAATGAGAGCTGGAAAAAATTTCTTCTCTAAGCCACTGGTGGTGGAATATTACATTGCTCATACTGATTTTGTTCTATTGTCAATTATTTATTCCAGGTCAATTTATTTTCTGGAGCTTTGTTTATTCGCCTAGCTCTTGGATGGAACCTTTATTTGGCAATTCTGTTGATGCTTGGAATGACATGTCTCTGTACAATTACTGGTCAGTTAGTGTTTTAATCTTTATTTGGCTTCTTGACATGTAACGGGTGGGTAGGGAGGGTAAGGATATCTTGCCATACAACTTTAAGACCCCATCCCTGACTGACATCACTGTTTTGTATCCGCTTTCTGTTTTTGGTTGTTGCAAAATTATGTTGATTTTTTTTTTGTCTTGCATGTAATCATGGTCAGGAACATTCCTATCTAAAGTCAAGTGGAGTGCCAACCCCTACCTTATGTTGACAAATTGCTTCCCTTATCTATGAACATTCTGTTTTGTTGTCAATCTTATCAGGTGGACTTACAGCAGTGATCTACACAGATACACTCTGCACCTTTCTAATGGTTACAGGATCGTTAACAGTCATGGGACTTGGTAATTTTGTTTGTCATGCTACAAAATAAAAGTATTCTTTTTGTGATGGTGTTATCATCAGATACTTAATCTAAACCACTCGGAGATCAAGGGTCCCTGCGTTTGGTTTTTAAGCAACTGTAGCTNGACTTGGCAGTTTTCTCAAAGGTCGTCTTGGATCAAAACCCACCTGTCTAGGCCAAGACGATACTAGGGGGTGGACCATTTGACATTTGAGGAAGGGTGGGTAGGATATTTTGAAAACATACATGTATCCTGCAGGCAAACTTGTACCAAAAAAACCAGTCATGTACACACTGCCGAACACAAAAATTCACTCTCGTTTAGTGAGCCCAAAAAAACCATGTTACACAGAGATCAAAAAAACACCATGCGTACACACGTCCCGAGAAAAAAAATCCCCATCTCATGATTGCCAGTGAAAGGAATACATGCCTGTTCCAGATACCCCACCCCGGCTGAAATGATCCCCTCGGGGTCTAATCCTAACGGCAAAAAGAACTAATCAGCAATCGTTTTCATAGCGCGCTTTTTATGCACTAACCAATCATTGCTAAGTTTCTATGTTTGTGACTACCGGAGGCTGACTTTCAGTCCGTAAGCAAGTTTTTGGCGGCCGGGAAGCGAGCAGGATGGCTGAAACTCAGTACAAACCTCCTGGGTTGGAACCTTGGGATATTGTCATAGTGGTGCTCTATTTCTTTATTATTCTTGGAGTGGGACTTTACGTAAGTATATCACTATACGTGTAGCAGTTTCAAACAATCGATTTGTTAGCGTGATCGATATCACACCCAGGTCATTAGAATACCATCGTTCGCGCTGTTTGTCGAGATTGTTTTATTTCGTCTCAAAGCTTGGATTTTAATGGCACGCACCTGTTGAACGAAAGAAATTCCGCGTTTTATTTAAGTTGTGTGTTGAAAGATGTCTTTGGCATAGTTCCTTGCGAACGTGGTGTAGTTTTAATAACCTCGGACGCGCAAATAGCATGCAAACGTGGACATGCATGAGTTAGGTAGTTTTGCTTCATTCTGCAGAGGAGGTCGACCTGCAGTGATCCTGACTTAAGACCTTTCAGTCTTGCAGAACTTGAGTGGTCATTGATTGTTGAAAAAATTCGCAACATAAGCCGGCGGTTGTTTACGCTTTTCAAGACTCTTTCAAGATGGCCTCCTCGGTTGTTGACCTTCGAGTTTAACCGGCTATTGACTGCTTGTGGCAGCCCTGTACAATTAAACCTTTGTTACTATACGGAAAGCTTCCCCTTTGAGAACGCCCGAAAAAATCCTGTTAACGATCTAAGGAACAACTTCCACCTTCATCGTGATCAACTGCGTCGGCCACACGAGACCATGCAGACGTCTTCTGTGCATTGGTCTTTGCAATGCAAATACTGTTCGTGTGTTTATTCCCTCGCACAAGAGTCTAACAAACGCTCCAAACAATAGGATGCTAGCAAACAATAATCAACAACAATTTAAACGCTCCTGTGTGACAAAGTGGACAAAATTTGTTTAGTATGGTCGTGTAGGAACAGTGTCTAGGTTTGTTTCATAAAACAACGTTTTGTATTTCAAAAGATCAAAGAACACCCCTGTGAGCGATTTTAGCTTTTCTCAGCTTAGTCAATTGAATGTTCAGAAATCAAAGTTGCTCGACCTCAATCTGTGGATTAAAGAGGCTGGCAACAGTTTCCAGCACTCTTCTAATAGCTATACTTTGAAGGATGAATACTACTATTGTTTATCAAGTGATGCTGCAGTATTGGTATCGTACAAATACCCAAACATTGGTTAACAATGACGGTCATTCTTTATGTATAACAAGTTACCATAGCAACAATATGACCTGCTAAAAACACCCATAATTGTAGCTTTAAGCACTTGTAACTCAGAAGCAAGCTCGGTGACCCCCATTTTTTATTATGGAAGTATGATTAGATATGATAAGATCTTGGGCAGGGACCGGAACTCCTATATAAAAAGGACGGGGGTGTTTGTTGTACCTTTTAGGGGTTAAAAAAGTGGTTTTAGTACCTCTCAGGGTGTTCAGCCTCAAAAGGTTCACAGTGGGAGCTTTTGCAGTACCTTTTAGGGTATTGAGCTGCAAAAATATAACAAGACATTATATGTTGTTTTAGAATTAATACCTCTTAGGGGTGAAAAACATTTCAAGCCATGCCAACAAAAGAGGATCTTGGTACCTCTTAGGGGTTCTTTTCAAAAATTCCAACAAGCACCCCCATCCTTTTTAAATGGGAGACCCCCTCCCAGGAATAAGATCCAACTTTTTGCAAAGTTTAAAAAAATTCTGTAGTGTGGGTTCAGCGCCACCTTAAATTTCGAAAAATTAAGGTGGTTCTGAACCCACAATACAGAATTTTTTAAAAAACCCTGCAATGTGGAATGTAGAGAGTATCAATTAAGTACTAAATAGGTTTGCTTTGATTGAGTCAGGTTGACTGTTCAGTCTAAATAGGTTTCTTTTCTTGGATAAAGAGCATTTTGTAAATTAAGCATTCAAATTTTTCAGTTTTACCAATTTGAAAATGATGAACAAGTCATTGCAACGTCATTCGAAATTATTATCGCTAGTTTTTATTCTTAAATTAATATCTGAAACCTAAATTAACAGACTCCAAAATTATTCAATGGGTTTGAAACAACAGCCAAACCAAAATAACTGTTTAGTTTTACAGGGGACAGAAGGCCACTTATGCACATTCTATATTTTGAAAACCCTAGATATACATGATTCAAATATTTTCGCTTTGATTTCTTGCAGGCCATGTTCAAGTCTAATCGGGGTACTGTCAGTGGATATTTCTTGGCTGGGAGATTTATGACATGGCTTCCAGTAAGTCAAGTTGGATCAGACATAAGTTTGTTTTTAAAAACAGGATGATGCAAAATAAATATTACGTTGCCGCGCGAACAAGAGAAATTTTGTATTTTCAAGTGGCCATGTAATTTTCTCTTTACTATATAAACACCAATGGAATAACAAACCATTTGACTTTTGTTGCAAAAGGCACAATTTATTATGTTACCATAGCAACGTGATCTTTTCACATGTGAAAATAACATGTTTTATTCACGTGTGAAGATGTCATGTTTTCGCACAAAAGCTCACCTGGTATTTCATCGGTGTTTATATAATAAATACTAAAATTACCCCTTAACATCTAATATACAACTAAAATTGAATATTTTGTTACAGTAACTGTTATAAAGTTAAAAATAAACCATTTTTTGGCCCAGGTTGGTGCATCACTGTTTGCAAGTAATATCGGCAGTGAACACTTCATTGGCTTGGCAGGATCAGGAGCTGCTGGTGGAATAGGAGTTGGAGCATTTGAATTTAATGTAAATATTACATCCTGCTCAAACTTCAGTGAAATTGATTTCATTTTAACTTTTTCTTTAAGTCTTGTAATTTAATTGTCAAACAAATATGATGCATAGATGTATCATTTAATGTTTCTGGTTTTGTGCTTGTTTTGTGTACTTGTGTTCACTGATTAGTCCTTCTGCTTTCAAGGCTATAATGCTGCTTCAGTTGCTTGGTTGGGTGTTTTTACCTGTCTATATTGCTGGTGGGGTGAGTAGAAGGAGCATTTCTCCAACTTTTCATTTATTAATTCTGTTTATTTTGCCTTTTTACTTAATGTACAGTATTTATAAATATTTTAATGTGAGGCGAGGTGACCTCTAGAAACCATCAGGCTTTTAGTGGAGGCCACCTTGTACATAACAATACGGTTACATAAATAGTGCAACAGTGTGTGGCTTTGCCAGTTCAGTAATTGTATTTTACTAAAAACTCTAGCAGTTTTTTCTTAAAATTGGGAAAACTTGACAATGAAGTGATTGTAACAGGAAGGGAATTCCAGATCTTATTATGGCTTAGAGCCGGTCCTAGGTACCAGTCACTTACGCTGTGAATGACTAATAACAAGGGCCAGATTTTCCTGTAAAGCCCACATAGGTATTTATGAGTGTTATTAAACAGTCGAATGTCCAGTTGCGACCACATCTGGTAAGAAAGTCAAATCACCATATTTGGAACCTCTTTTAAGTGACCACCTCTCATAAGCAACTGCGACCACTTTAAGGACTAAAAGTTTGAAATTTCATTTTGTTTTTAACTCTTGTAGGTGACCACTGGACAGACAATAAAGCAGAAATAGTTGTATAGTAAAGGTTTTTTTAATATTATCGCATTCCTAGATAGTACAAGAGACATAAATTTCTCAATGGGAAGTATCACATTTTTCTCAAAATTGACTTTTCGTTTAAAATGTTAAAAACGTGGAGTAAATCTCGGCATGTAGCATATGCTTATTAGGCAAAAATTTTGTCTCAATGTGGTCTAAGCTCTCGTAATCATAAGTAACCATATAGGCTTGACATTTTGGGTGGTCGCTTATGGGAGGTTTGACTGTCAGTAATAGTATTTAGGAATTTTGTTTAATGTAATTAAAATGAAGAATTTATTAAAAAGTTAATTGACACAAAACTAACCTGAAATGTCCTGTGCATTCTGTCCTGTAAGGTAGAGAATAACGTAATTAGTAAGTAACAGTAACATCTCCCTTTGTGTGTTCAATTCTTCTCTCACAGATTTAATCCAAAAATTTGATACTCACCCTCAGCTGATAATATACCCATGTGCCTCAGAGACTGGCTGTCCCTTCTAAGTAAATTTCAAATCCACACAACAACCACAATGGGGACACACTATGGATCTCCTTAGAGCAGTGTGATCAATATGGAAATTTTTGGTCGAATCTGTTGAGCTGTATTTTGAGTGGGGAAAGAATCTGGCCTATAAAGAGAGATTTGTTTATAGGATAGCCTATTGAAAACATTGTAAAACAACATGAAGCTCAACTTACATAAATTACATCTTGTAACTTGCCTCCTGGAAAACACTTTGTTTGTGTTTAAAACTTTTTTTGTTTTCAATAGATTTGCACCTTACCAGAATATATTTGCCGTCGCTTTGGTGGCAAAAGGCTGAGAATGTGGCTTTCGGTCGTCTCTCTTCTATTGTACATCTTCACCAAAATATCTGTAAGTTTATGTTCTCTAGCAATTGTGTACACGTATGTGCATACCTCGGTGCACTTAATGACTGACTGAGAGGGCTAGATGGAAATATTTCACTTATGTTGTGCATACTGTGAATGAGAGCTGGAAAAAATTTCTTCTCTAAGCCACTGGTGGTGGAATATTACATTGCTCATACTGATTTTGTTCTATTGTCAATTATTTATTCCAGGTCAATTTATTTTCTGGAGCTTTGTTTATTCGCCTAGCTCTTGGATGGAACCTTTATTTGGCAATTCTGTTGATGCTTGGAATGACATGTCTCTGTACAATTACTGGTCAGTTAGTGTTTTAATCTTTATTTGGCTTCTTGACATGTAACGGGTGGGTAGGGAGGGTAAGGATATCTTGCCATACAACTTTAAGACCCCATCCCTGACTGACATCACTGTTTTGTATCCGCTTTCTGTTTTTGGTTGTTGCAAAATTATGTTGATTTTTTTTTTGTCTTGCATGTAATCATGGTCAGGAACATTCCTATCTAAAGTCAAGTGGAGTGCCAACCCCTACCTTATGTTGACAAATTGCTTCCCTTATCTATGAACATTCTGTTTTGTTGTCAATCTTATCAGGTGGACTTACAGCAGTGATCTACACAGATACACTCTGCACCTTTCTAATGGTTACAGGATCGTTAACAGTCATGGGACTTGGTAATTTTGTTTGTCATGCTACAAAATAAAAGTATTCTTTTTGTGATGGTGTTATCATCAGATACTTAATCTAAACCACTCGGAGATCAAGGGTCCCTGCGTTTGGTTTTTAAGCAACTGTAGCTGAAGAATGACTGAGGCTGGGTGTATGGGAAGCACAACTCCTTAACTGTCAGATGGAGTCTTCTCTTATTAGGTTGCTTTTCCTTAACCAGCTACCACAAGTAAAACTATTGGTGAGCACTGTTATTCACCAGCAATCCCTCCATGGTTGTTACGATATCCATTTTGACAGTGTTTGACCATTCATTTTGTTGCAGGGTTTTCTGAAATTGGTGGTTATGAGGGACTGAAGGAGAAGTACATGATGGCAGTGTCAAATGACACTCTGTACTTGAATAGCAGCTGTGGTCGGCCAAGAGATGACTCATTTGTCATGCTGCGAGATCCTCTCAATTCTGACATGCCTTGGGCTGGGTTCATTTTTGGACAAACAATTGCTTCCATCTGGTATTGGTGTGCTGACCAGGTTTGTATCGTGCTCTTAGTTTGTGAAATTTAAACCCTAGTTCAGCTGTTCACTGTAAATGCTGGTTTAGATGGCAAACTTTGTCATGTGCAACAAGCTTATGACAAGTCTGTGACAAAAATTGTAGTGTGTAAATCAACCTACAGCTTGATTTCAAGACTGTCTTTACGACAGGAAAAATGCTGTGGAAGTTTGAAACATGTTTTAAAATCCTTCATGACATGGCTGGCAAAGCAGGGCTATCAAACTCAGCATATGAAAGCATGCTTCATAATCCAGTGATGCCCGCTCATTGTGTAAGCAAAGTTAGCTTTGCAAGAGAAGTTTTTTCCCCATTATATTCGCATTGTCATGCTTTTAGAAGTGCATTATCAAGTTATTATGGACTTGGGAAGTTAACAGAGCACTCAAAAAGCTATAGTTGCTGTTGACTATTAAAGTGTTGAGCAGGTCTTATGCTTGTGTTGTGCTCTGCAAGCTCCCTGTACATGCATCCTGACTCAGTCATGTATGCGAGAGCATGAATCAAGCAGGGCATGCTACAAAAGTCACACAGGTCTAAGTTGTACCAGGGTATTCATTCGTTTTGTTTTGTGTTTTTGTTTTGTTTTGTTTTTTTTTGTTTTGTCGTGCAAGGTTATTGTTCAAAGAGCTCTTGCTGCCAAGAGTTTGTCTCATGCTCAGGGAGGCTGCCTGTTGGCTGGTTACATTAAGGTCTTGCCTCTCTTTACCCTGGTCATGCCGGGAATGATCAGCAGGGTGCTGTCACCAGGTAAGGGAGGGGAGGTAACAGTAGCTTTGTCACCTGGGAAGGAAGTCGAGGAAAGGGAAAGAAGTAGATTGAAAATACTTTAACAGCTCCTTTTCAAGGTCAAACAAAAGCTTTGCATAAAGGGACAACAAGGTATTATTTATTATTATTATCTAAACTAGAGCGGTTTTCAAATGAGTGTTGAAAGTAATCAGGCAATTACTTTGGTTTTGGATTGGTTTTGCTATGGTTTGAGACTGGCAGAGTATTCTAATTGGTAAGTTATTGGTTTTACAACACTCAATAATTGGTTTGTTGTGTTTACTCTCGCCACAAATTGTGTTTCTTTGAAGATAGTTAAGTAGACGATATGACTGTACATTTTCAATGTGTTAACTGACTCAATTTGAGATTTTTCCATTGGCTTATTTTCCCTGTGTATTTTTCAGACCGAGTTGCTTGTAGTGTTCCAGAGAAGTGCATGGAAATTTGTGGCAGTGAGGTTGCTTGCACCAATATTGCATACCCAGAGCTTGTTCTCAAACTGATGCCGACAGGTAATCTATGACCTTGTTTACGTGATCTACAAATTATGCATCTTATTATGTGACTGAAAAAATAACTTCATTGTGATTGGCTGACAAGCGGCCAATTTATCATTAATTTTTAATTTGCACTGCAGTGCAAATTAATGTGGTTGCACTGGTAACTTTTAAAGTCAGACGATAAAATCATGAGTAATTAGGTGCCTAAGGATTTACACTACTCGTGATAATTAACAAGAGTGTGCAAGTTTGAGAAAATTTCGTAGGAGTAAGATTTTGTTTTGCAGTCGCAATTTACTGAGAATAATGACTTTCATAATTCCCATTACTTGTGTGTTTGACAACATGTTAATATTGTCTTGAGAAGTTAACTGTTGATCACACTGTTCAGGTCTCAAGGGATTGATGATGGCTGTGATGATGGCGGCACTGATGAGTGACTTGACGTCGATCTTTAACAGCGCCAGTACTCTGTTCACTATCGATGTCTATGGCAGATTCAGAACAAAGGCTTCAGTGAGGGAACTCATGATTGTGGGAAGGTAATTTTGTTCTTCGTTGTTGTGGTTTGACAGGAGTATGCTTCATGCATTTGTTTTTGTATTTTTTATTTCTCTACTTCAAGATTGGAATACAGCAGTGTTAGAATAAAAAGTAGTGATAGCAAAGTGGAAAGGGCAAAATATTAACCACTGAGTGAGGTTGTTACAGGAAAATCTCAATACGGCAAGGCCGAGGTTGGAGATTTTTCCATTAAGACTGAACATT